ATTCAGTATAACATTTTCAAAATTTGAGGAGACTAAAAAAACTACATAGAAATACCAATTAAAAAATTTCTGTGGGCTTACAATGAGATTCCAGAGAATTATTTTCGAATTTCAGACATGTAGAATTGTAAAAACTAGCCAGAAATAGCAACTTATAGTTCTCTAGAGTTGGTAAAGAAACAGATTATATAAGTAAAAAACTCAGATCTAAAAAATATCTATAAACATTTTCAACATAGATTGTAAAAAAGTTGAAGAGACAAAAAAACTATACTATAGAAATATTAACTAAAAAATGTTTGCTCGATTTTAATACAGAAATCATAAAAATATTTGTTTAAAACCCAATTTTAGGCCAAAATAAAGCAATTTGTGCTATTTCCAAAAAATTGTAGGTTTATCAGCAGCGAATAAAGACTTATTGGCTTTACACAACGGGGCTTGGACTTCGGCTTCAAGTCTCACTTCTTCGGATGATAAAAGGTCGTCCGAAGGCGGACAAGAAAAAATTGTTAGGGCTTTCAGCGAAGTGATGAAGAATATGCAAAGAATGAAAACTTATGTTAGACCAGCGATGTGCAAACCTTACGGAAAACAGTCCGAAGCTCTGCAGAAGAGTAAGTAGAATATTTAATAAATAGTATATTATATCACAAGTGGAGAAGAGATTTTTTATAGTCGAACATCTCGGGAAATAATTAATGGGAGGCTATAAAAATCTTTTCTGTCATATTTTATATATTTTTTTTTTACTACTAGCACATTTATTATCCAGAAATACTACGGTGACTTAATGGACATGATTACTATTCATTATTACCTACAATAATTAATTACTTATCTAACTTATTAACTTAAGTTGGAAATATTATTTTCTTTTTATCCTAAATGAGGTTATGTCATTTTTGTACTTCTACACTATTAAAGGGATTTTCTAATTGCATAAAATAAATACTGATAAAATATTTTTTATTAAGGGTAAAATAAATAAAATGTATACATAGATAAAAAAAACATATAAATTTATTTTGTAAAAACTTGCAATATTTTGATTTATGTTTTTTTTTCTTTTTTTTTATTCTATCAGAAATTTTCTCGATAACTATTTATCGTACAACACTGATCTTTTTTGTATATGTTAGAAAATTAAATTTTCTTTCAAACGGTACCAAATATAAGAGGTTATCACCAATAAGTCCGGAGTTATTGGCAATAGACCGCTTCGGGTGCCAAAAATCGACCAAAATTTCGACAAAAATAAAAAAAAAATTAACTTTAAAATTGTTCCATATAACGTTTTTTACATTTCTAGAGGTCTTGAAGACTCAAAAAAGTGCATAAAACGTTATTTATCAAGTTTAAAAAATTACGAATTTTTCGAGTTTTTGAAGGTGAGTTTTTGTTAACAAATTTTTACTGTTTTTTATTTTGTAAATTGCAGCAAAACTGTACCTCAATGATATAATATTTTGACTTAAACATATGTAAAATGTTCCGGGGAATCGACTGGCATCAAGAAAACTGCAAAATTCCTAATAGTTTTGAAGTTATAGTCGGATTTATATTTTTGATATTTTTGACTTTATTAGAAATTTTCTCGATAACTATTTATCGTAGAACACTGATCTTTTTTTATATGATAGAAAATCAAATTTGCTTTCCAACTGTACCAAACATAAAAGGTTATTACCAATAAATCCGGAGTTATTCGGAATAGACCGGTCCGGGTACCAAAAATCGACAAAAATCAAAAAAATTTTCAACTTTAAAATTGATCCATTTAACGTTTTTTACATTTCTAGAGGTCTTAAGGACTCAAATAAATGCAGAAAACGACATTGGGTCTAGTTTCAAAAATTTTGAATTTTTTGAGTTTTTGAAGGTGAGCGGTAGTAAAATCGTACAAATAGTCAATTTAATCGTAAAAATGCTTGAAATATGGTTTTCCAGACGTAAAATTACGCGCTGAACACGATGCAACAGGTTAAAATACTCTACGATGCATAATTTTTGAGATATTAGGTCAAGTTTAAAAATTACGAATTTTTTGAGTTTTTGAAGGTCATATCTTTTAGGTACATCTAGTAGTGAAAAAACAATTTTATAATCACAATGATGAGAATTCCGAGGTGAATTCTTGAGAGCTCCATCGTTGAGCTTTCGAATAATGATTTTTGAAGCTTTGATCTTATCTGACTCTTATTTATTTAATAAAGTAAAGACTTAGTGGCGTTTTTGGGATGATTATTTTGTGTTTTTTCAGCTCTAATGGACACGATTCAGCTTATCCAATCGTTGCGCAGTTTTTTGCCCCCACCTCATATACAGGTGAGTTCATGGAAAAATGAGGATAAACACCGCTACGAAGAAACTTAACTCGAAATTTTCTCGTTAACAAAGGCAGCGTTGTAAAACATGACTTCCGAGATTAGATTATCCTTTAGAAGGATATAAAATAATGTGAAAGTATTTTGTTCCTTATTTTATATATAGATATATTAATGTAAGTTTTTATATTTTGTTGGTTTTAGTCAGTGTTGAAATTTAATCGAAATTTACTCATGATCGTAGTTGTAGTTTTTTATTTTTAAAATTTTGGAGAATCAGTACAATACGCTGCAAGCTCTCTTTAACGACTTTATAAATTATGAAATTTATTTTTGTGATAGCATCGTACTTAACACAATGAGATTGTTTACTGAGGTGCATTTTTGTTTATTTATTTGATAGTATTTGGAAAATGACAGTATTTGGAAATAAAAAGTAGTCTTATTTGAATTAATTAATTCTTAGTGTTTAAATTAGGACATTGCAATATCTGAAAAGCTGCTCTTGGCCAGGCTACAATATATGAGGGTTTGAAAGTCTAGTCATTAATTTAAAAAAAATTGAAAATTCAAAATTTTAGCTGTGATATTTTAATTGGCCATGATATTCTAAAAGTCTAGTTTTTCATTCCAGTATTTACATATTTCGATACCAAAAATTGTATTACTAGTTTTCGGTAGATTTCGTGTAGATTATGATCGACAATTTGCATATCATCTTTTTATTTATTTCCTTACGAATATTATTGTAGATCTGAGCCAGTATTTGTACACATGTTCGAAGACTGTTGTGAAATTATCATTCTACTATAGGATTTAAGTGGTTTTTGTATGTTGTCACGAAATAGGATTACTGTAAGGCTATATCATAATCTTGCCAATTTTATTATTTCGAAGCTTAGCTTTATTTGTTTGTTTGGCTTTTTTCATAGTTGTATGTGATGCTAATATTGTTGAAAACAGTTTCTTTTGTTGTCTGTATTCAGGCTTTTGTGCAATAAAATCATTTAAAAGTACTTTCTGTGTTTTTTATTTTAATATTTCGATCCAAAAATGGAAATGGAAATTCAGTGTTTACGTTCAAGACTCAAATTAAAAACTTTTGAATAATTAACTTTGTTCAACTGAGTTGGATAACTTTTGGATAATTTTTTTTTTCTTCATTTCTTCTTAAAGAATTCTTTCTTGTTTTTTCTTTTTGTTTTTGAGCGACTGGCAATGATTTGTTTTCTTTCTTTACTTTTAGTTATTAAGTAACTTCCGATTTTATTTTTATTTAAATTTTATATTGTTTATAATAATTATTTTTATGTTATAATTGTCTTTTTTTCTGTTAATATTCTTTTGAGGTTAAGTTGAATAGCTTCAACCTAGACTTCGCCTCCGCATCTTTGAATCACTTTTAATTATTATTATTATTTAATATTTCGATCCCAAAATGATAAAATGTAACTGAAATATTAGAAAATGAAGAAAAAGTATGTAGGCAACCAATAAAACTAGGCCAACCCTTTGTTTTATTTTTAAAGTAAACTAACAGTATAAAAATAAACAATTAACAAAAAATGTACAAGTCAAATAAAGAAAATTGTATATAAATAGCAACTTATTTTAAATAAAAAATTAAAAAACTAGCAATTGAAAAACAGGCAACCAACAAAACTAAGTGCTATAATTTTCATTTTTGTACTTAGAAAAGTAGAAAACTGTAGACCAAAACAAGTCAAAGTGTGAGGTTATGTAGATATAATTGTTTGAATATTTGTAAATTTTTGGGTTTTATACATTTCCTTTAGCTTAAAAGTACGTTTTGATGATTGTGGGTTCACTTCTAGAGATGTGGTGTTATTTAAACTGCGAAGAAATGTGATTTTGTTCAAAAAAAAATTGGTTAAAATTGACTCCAATTCAAGATGTACCGCACCGACAAGCAATTTATGACCAACCCTGCCACGGCCCCGTCCCGTGTTTACATCGGGGGCCTCCCCAAGACAATCGTCGCCGCCGATTTGGAGGAAAAATTCAAAATGCATGGAAAAATCCTAGGCCTGGTCCTCCAAATGGGCTTCGCCTTCATCCAGTTCGAGAACGAAAGCCAAGCCCAGGCTGCAATCCAAAACGAGAACAATACGGTGCTCCACGGTAGAAAAATCTGTGTGAGACAAGCGTTGGACAAGAGCCAAAAAGGGGCTAACAATATGAACAAACAAATTCAAAATCGAAGACCGGGCCCCCCCCCGCATTACAACGAGCCGCCCCACATGCCCCCACAGCAACAACAACAGTTCCAGAATCATCCGCCGCCCCCACAACAACAACCTACAGAAGAGCCCCCGAAGCCAGCCCCCAAGCCCGAGCCGGAGGAGCAAGCCCCGCCACCGAAAGAGGAGCCCCCCAAAAAGGAGGCGCCGAGGGGGAGGAAGCGGAGGATGCAGAGTCGGGAGCGGTTTCAACCCGATATATACAGGGAGGACGGGTATTATCCCCCGGGGAAGTACCCAAATCGGCCACCAGTCGTTGACCAACCTGACAGAAACGACTGTGAAATTATAGTCGTCTCAAAACCCCTAACGTAATTTTTTAATCAATGTTGCCAACTTAATTTTAGTCACAGCCCACTTTGATTTTAGGAAATACGCCGAGTATATTGAACAGAGACTGAAAGGACTGGGGCTCATTGTGGACTTGCTGTTTCCCAACGAGGACGTCCCAATTGGGCGAGTCTTGGCGAATATTTCAAGCAGGGGGTGTTTATATGCAATTTTGGTAATGCCCCAAAACGAGGAACACAGAAGTTTGACTCTTAATATTTTACATGGGAATCCCCAAGGTAATTTCATCTGATTTTCATGATTTTTTAAAAAATTATTTCTTTAACAGAGCATAGGAATATGCCCATTGAAGATGCTTTGGTGTTAATGACGCGAAATTTTGATGCTTATATGCGAGGTGATAAGACGGCTTCGGAGCCGACCCCTGGGGCTATCAAAAATGTATCAGACAGACATCCAACAACAATGCAGGTATTTTTTTCGAAAACTATTCTAGACATTACAAAAACTACTCTCGAGAAATGAAAAAATCTGAAATCTGGACCAATTCAAGAGGTTTGGCAAAAACAAAGTAAAAAATTGAAAAATCAGCTAAAATGCGTTATTTTCGCCAGTTTTTTAAAAACTAATAAAAAAAAAATTGACCTAACCCGGTAGAAAATTACGAAATGTGATTTAAATGCGTTATTTTTGTGAAATTAGGAGAGTTTTTTACTGAGAAAGTCAAAAAAATTGGAATATTCTGTCAAAACAAGATAGAAAATTGCAATAATTATTATTAATAATTTTGTTAATAATAATTATTAATAATTTTGTAGGAAAATTGTGCGCTGAAAATGTGTTTTATCGTGAAATTACATTAAATGTTCAGATTGATGATCTTGTGTTAGAAATAAAGATCAGAAAAGTGTTAAGTGTTTTTTTAAGAAGATAAATATTTTGTTTACCATAAATAAATAAAGTCTGTCTAAAGATCACTTAAGTTTTTTTTTTAAGTATAATTTTTTTCAAAATTTTTGTCGTACAAAATATACAGGTGTCCCAGCGAGTTGAAAAACTCCAGTAGTGACCTTTAAATGGTAAAATAAAAAAATATATACATATAGGACATTGATAAATATTAGTCTATCGCCTAAAATTATTTTCAACTATACAGCGTGTCTCAAAAATAAGTTACAACTTGTGTTTTTTTAATAAAACACCATACATTTCTTAGCGTTTTTGGATGTAGATTTTTATGCCAATATTTTTTAGCTAAACTTTTATTGGCCGATTTTGCTTAATTTTAAAAATAAGACGGTTTTTTGACGAAAACATGCACTTTTTAAAAATTTATTACACAAAAACTAAGATCTAGAATTTTTCTACCGCAAAGAAGGTTGTAACATTTTTTAGTGTCTTGCATTTGCAAAGATAAAAAAATGAAGGCGTTTGTTAAAAGTTTAATAACTTAAAAAATTTAAATGGAACATCCTATTTATTGTTTTTGCATTTAAAAGATTATTAAATTGTCTTTCTAAAATTATTTACTTTTAGGTGTTTAT